ATAATATATAATAATAATTCAAGTACATCCTTTCAAACTGCTAGTCACATCCTCATGTAAATGGCAATTTATCGAGGTCAGAAAGGTTATCGAGTTCATTTTTATTTATCGTACGATAAGTAAATTAATTGCTTATCGCGACAGGCACACAATAAAACAGTGGAAACAAACATGTTTGACTTTCATTAGTGAATGAAACTGTGTGCCCTTTATAGTCTGTGTCCATTATTGTGTATTTGTATATATTGTATATATATCCTATATGCTAAGGTCCCGCTGCTGACACGATAGCAGTCATTTCGTGCGCATATGTGTAATTAAACCGAATTAAACCCATGATATCAAAATCTCACTCCAGCCAGGTACCCAAAGTTGGCAACTCTGAGTTACCTGGTAAGTAGCCATTTTTGTTCAGCTTAATTTACAACAGCTGCTTACTGCATATACAGTGTAACACAAGCTGTAAGGTAGTCATTAGCTACTTGTTTTAAGCTACTGTAGCATGCATAGCATACTGATTAGCTAGCTGTTTGTATCCTCCTGTATCCTTTGTTTCACAGTTGCAGTCAAAGTTCATTATTTGTCATACAGTATGTATATATTTATATTTATATATATATTTTTTTTTCTTTTTTTCTTGTTAGAATTAACATTAAAGTGGACCTATCATGCTATATTTGAATAATATATTGTAGGGCCATACCTATATTAAACATGTCTGGCACGAGGCACGAGCGTCATGTTACCATGCTGTTACCATGCCACGGCAACCTCTCATTCCCCTGATAGGTGGAGAGTTGCCCACATAGGCGGAGCTCCCTGTTTCTGACGTCAGAACAATTTCAAATCTGTATCAGTCTGTGTCAGCTCCGTTGCAGCCCCGTTTTTAGAGATTTGGGTATGGAGGAAAAGAGAGAGGGTTGTGTTTTCTGACACTTGGTGAGTTCCTTGACACACCGGGGACACATATTCATGTTTAAAAGACGTACAAAAGTGCATTTTGCATGATAGGTCCCCTTTAAATTTGATAAAAACTGATTTAAAATAAATATGAAACAACTGAAAATGCCCGGCATGTTCATTTTTTGCAAACAAGCCTTTGTTTTTCTTTTAAGGATGGTTCGGTGGAAAGAATAAAAGAGGTTGTTATCCGTTGCTTGGTGGTGTGTCTTCGTGAAAAGGAGGATCTCTTCAAGGAAAACTTAAGTAAGTAAAGACGATGCTTAAATCATACTGTAACTTGTAAAACACAATGCAATGTTTTCAAATCTGATTGCACCAAAAAACACTGACATTTATTTTCTAATCTACTTATTCCAGGATGGTGAAGTGGAAGTTAGCAATGATGCAAGAATAGTGATTGAAAGTCCTTCAAATCTCGGATGCGACAAGAGCCTGTGCGATGCTGATGGGGCTAATATACACATCCAAAAGAGATGTTAAAAACGTTGAAGCAGGTTCATGCCTTTATTTTTATTTTTGTATTTACTTTTATTTCATGTTTGAGAACATTTGTTATAAAAGGTCATTGTGTAAAGAACATTTTAAAATATACTGTTAACAAGTGGAACTTAAATGCGTATATTATTTTTGACTCAAAGAAATTAGTTTCTAATACTCAAAGAAATTAAGGTAATAATTTGCATGGACATTTTTGAGTAGTATGGACTTAAATAAATAAATTACAATAGCTTAAATTAAAACAAAATGCAACTTAAAGGTCCCCTATTATACTGTTTTTCATCAATATATTATAGGTCTCAGATATATACAAAACATCCCTCTGAAGTGTTTGGCTCGAAATACCAAACAGATCATGCATTGTAGCATCCCATAAACCCCTCTGTTTCAGCCCTGTTTCAGAAGTGCTGATTCTCTGTCTGTTAGTTTAGATGAAAATAAGGGGCCACTCCCCACGCCCCTCTGCGAGATATTTGGTTAAAAAGAACACAATGGTGCTCTATGAGGAGATTCAGGTGATCAGGTGGTGGGGGTTACCTTGGTTGGTTATTGGCTAATGGTTACACAAGCCAAAAAAATCGTTATGACATCATAAAGTGGCCAAAATGTGATCAGCTCATTTTCAGACAGGTTTTTATATAAATGGATCAGGACAAAAAGAGAGCGAATCTTTTTTCCTGAAACTTTCAGAATCTCTTTACACAGAGGGGATGGTTATGTATAAAATACATGAAAAGTGGATTTTGCATAATAGGTGACCTTTAATATCACTCCATCTTTACAATTAAAATTAAGTTGGTTCAACTTAATTTAGATTTTAAAGGTGAAAGCAATTATGTTTGTAGTACTGAACTAATTGAGTTAATCAGATTATAAATGGTTCTTCGATTAATTTAAAGGTGGGGTAGGTAAGTTTGAGAAACCGGCTCGAGATACACTTTTTATTATATTCCATGGAATGCTCTTAACATCCCGATAGCAATGAATATCTTAAGTGCTTTGACAAAAAATCCATAAAAAAAATTCATCTGTGGAAGCCGTAATACTGTAAAAAGCACGACCAATCATTTTAGCCAGCCCGGCTAAAATGACTGGATGGCCTACCTGCCGGTCAGCCTTCCATCTGTGCACAAACTTATCTCGTGCCCTCATTGGTCATGTGCGCGTTCGTGTGTGTTGGAGGAGGGGCTCTGTAAGGAAGTGGCAGATTTTTTCCGGTTGTGTATTTTCAAATTCTAGCGCACTCGAGCTGGTTTCTCCAAAATTACCTATCCCACCTTTAATAATCGATCAAATTGGAAATACATAAAAAGATCAACGCAAATTGTTACCTCAATTTATTTAAGTAGAGCCGGTGTATTTTTTTTTAGAGTGTAGTCTTATTGTAAAGTGGTACCAACAAATCAATGTAATGTTTAAGCACTAGACTTTTTGGACTGCAATCCCCAAAGATGTTCATTTTCCAGCTGCAGCGAGGGCTCCCATCAACAGAATAAATACACGTACTGTCTGTTCGTTGATCTCTTTCCACTTCAAAGCTCTGTTAATAAGAAGTGTGTTTACTGATGTGTTGACCTTCAGTCGTATAAATTACAGCAAGTTATTATCAATGTGATGGCTTCTAATCCAGTGTGTTTTTCTATGTCTGCTAGTCAGAAATTCGTTACCTCACCAAAGATAATTGAGTGACTCCAGAAATGAGAAACATGCACAGGTTTTCCCTTAGGGGTAAACAGTCAAAGTCTACATCCCACACATATAAGCATGCATAGAAACTCAATCTAATGTAATTGATTTTCTAAACATTCACATCCACTGCCAAATGAAAATGTACTAAATAGGTTGGAGGCTAATGTCAAATCAGGTAACATTACCTCCGTCTGCACACACTGCTGTGCACAACCTTTTAGAGTCAACTCAAATGATGTAGCTGGAAAAGTTTTCCTCAGTCTTTTAGATTGATGGCCCTTAAGATTCTTTATTCATCGCTTTGTTGTTCGTTCTACTTTCACTCTTTGATTTCATTCATTCCTTTCTTTAGAGATCTGTACAATGAAATCTACCCTGCCTGAGAGATGGAGCCTCAGTCCCATAGATCCACCGCTTTATTATTCACTGCTTCTTTTGGTGGTTGCAAAATCCGTCTTTCATTTTCATTGCTTCAAAGTGTCCATGTCATTTTACAGACACACCTTATTTTATAATGAAAAGTGATGGAATATTCACAATCAAATCATAATCTCCCAAAATGTTTCCAGCAATTTATTTATATTATATATGAACAATAAAGAGACGAGGACAAAAATATTTTTGATAAAACATTATTCATGTGAACAGTGAGTGTAACAACTGGCAAAGTAACACTTTGGGTAAACACACACTGCAACGCTTTTAGACCTGAATACGCCCGTGAAACAATTCTACACAAACTGCTCATTAGGAATCTGTAAAGTGAAAGAAATCTGCTAAATGAAGACAGACTTTTCGATTCCTGGATTACCCCAAATGCATGTATGGGCTAGTCGGTCAGAGGATTACAGTATGAATCTACCCAACAGTTTTATATAGTTAAACGCACAACTTCAGCCTGAACTGAAAAAGCAGCTTTAACCCTCCTATTGTCTTCGTTTTCCCCCCCTTACTTTGGTGTTCGCAGTCAAATTTGACCGGTCCTGTTTTAACTGCTATTACATTAACACAAAAACCATTAATCATCACCAAATTTCATTTAACACACTTTCAAACTGTAAATATTGTATCAGACTACTGGTATACATGAAAAACTGCAGTAAATATACAAAGAATAGACACTGAACATGTATTGCGTGTGCCAGGTGTAATCCATGTCGGGGGATGGGCACTTAAGAGTGGGAAATGTGTCAAATTGCTCTGTGTGTGTGTGTTTGTGTGTGCCAGGTGTGATTCACATGGGGGGATTGGGCACATAAGGGGGGAAAACACATCTAGAGTATGTGTGTGTGTGGGTGTTTGTGTGTGTGTTTTATCTGATCCGGATGGTTACTAATTCCTTTTCTTTATGGCGGTCATTTTTGACCGGGAACACCATGGGTGTTACAAAGTTGACTAAATCATCCAAAATTCAATGACAGTGGTGGTCAGAAATGTTATATGTTCAAATGTCTACTGTGAAGGATATCATAAAGCCTTAATGCAATTGAATGTAAAACAAAAGTTATGATTGATGAAAGTAGTAAATCGGTCAGATTTGACCCGAAGACAACAGGAGGGTCAACTTTTCTGACACAGTTAGGCAAAAGTCATGTCTTTCAAAGAAACCTGAAGCAACAATAGTCATAATGCAAAGGCTGGGTTTTTTCAAAGAGGGTAAAAGGTAAACCAGCGACCCAACACCTAGGAAGGAATCAACTGGCCTGTACATGAAAAATTGAGCATAGGGTCTAAGTTTACAATTAAATATATTAATTTGATAAGATTCATTTTCTGATTATAAATGTTTGCTAGAAGCACTTTGGTAAGAGCTCAGAATTCTGACTGCATTTGACATTATTCAACAAAAGCAAATTCCCTTTTTTTAGTTCAGGCTGTTATGTGGCAACAAACAGTGTACTGTATGTGGACGCTATTCTTACGTGTCATTTAGCACGAAACGTTTGTGTTGATGAACATTGAACATTAACAGTTATAATAATTATGTACAATTTTACAGTTCAATTTCATTATTACAGCAATGTGTAAAGAAAAAATAAACGTAATTACAGTAAGAATGTAAAAAGCTAGGACAGTATATGTGATTCATTAAAATTATAATAACATCATGATTATTATAATTGTCATTTCATGACCACTTTTAAATCTGTTAGTGCCAAGAAGGAAACTGATTCTATGGCAATAAATACAAGTAAGGCAAAAAACAATAAATAACTTCCCAAAAAATAAAATGTAGGTTTTTAAATGCACAACATGCTGCTAAGTGAGAGGAAGAATTGAGGTCTGTGAGGTGCCACATTTCATGATTGTAGACCCTTGTTCCCACGCGGTGAAGTTCAATATGAGTTCATTCTTACATTAACACAGGCATTAATGTCTTAATAAAACCTCACTGACACATGTGAACTGCCATCTCAGATAAGTCTCATAATCATCATACATTTGATGGATTCCCAATATGAACAAACCCAGCTAAAATGAGCAAAGCTGTTGGAAACACATGGGAAAAAAAAAACATTTAATTATAATTTGAGTGGGCAGTGCAAACAGAGCCAAACAACCCCCTATGACATTTCACAGTGTCAAAAGCATTATGATGCACGCATTGACGAGTGATGTAAATAGTATTTCTTAAGAGGTCAGCCAGCAACACAGCATCGTCATCCTCCACATGTAAACAAGCCAAGCAGGGAATGTTTAGTTCCCCATTACAGCTGCGCCTCTCAGTCCAAGTCCTCTGGAGCCACATTACTGCTGGCCGTCTACACTACCAGGTAGTTAATTGCATTCATCCGGTGTAAAATGACTCCCTGATTAGACAGCTGGAATGAAAATTAGGCCCCAATGCCCAGGACTGAGAGCCACCGCACAGAGTGTGTTACAGATACACTGTATAACAATACAAGCCCTGGGTTAGTACACTAAGCAGGGGAAAGAGAAGGAGGGAAGGAGAGACCTGGGACATGATAGTGGGGAGAGGAAGATAACCGATTTAGTAAGAGGACAGGAACAAAAGGAGTTTGCATGCAGTAGACTGCGTGCTGGGGGATAGAACAAGGGAAATGTATAGGGAGATGTTGAAGGGGAATAAGAAATGGAAGAAATAAAGACAGAAATAGAAGAGACAGAATACAAAAGGGAGGGAATAGTTTGCAAGTGAAGCAGACCAGAGGGAGAGTAGTAGTTTCCACCAGTGGGAGCAGAGCTGTCTTCATTTGGGCTTTTCTTCACCTCTATCAGGTCCTTGCCTCATGAGGTGTGCATTACAACACACACACATACACACCATTTATACAGCCTCCCTTCAGCCAGCTGCTGTTTAGAGACAGGCAAGGGCAACAACTTCTATCAAGTCTAACATTTTCTGAACTCCTGGCCTGTACTTAGCAGCATTGCAGCCTCCCGGCTCCCGGTGGACATTAGAAGATTTGTTTACCCCAAAACGTATACGTGGAAAAAAGGGCTGTTGGACAGTTTACTCGGCAGAGGAAATATATTCAACAGTTGCAGAGTGAAGAGGTTGTTTTGCCGCCCAGTTGTTCACATTTCTAAAAAAGGTGGTTTTGTTATTTCTGAAGTTGACACATGCTCCCAAATTGTAAATAATGATACGACTCAGCAGTTCATGGCAGTTATAATATATGTAAATCTTATTCAAAGGCATGAGTCATACTGTCCAAAAATAACAACAGGATCTGCCTTATTATACCAAATGCTATGTGTTAGGTCAGCTTTTCAAAAGAACACATCTGAGACCAGGAAGATAATAGAGGGCTGGTATAAGGACTGGGTATCAGCCAGGAACCCAGTGCTGATGCTTTTTTAAAAGGTATAGTTTGTCAAATCTGATTATTTCTTTCATTATTTGATCAAGTAAACAACTTTCTGTGCAGTATGTGTTCCTTCACTTGCCTCTGTATACAGGATGTCAGCTCACTGTAATGCCATTATTTGAAACCTTATTCATTTTTTATTCTAAAAATGAATATTGATTCTGTCATTTAGCAAAGCACCAGTAGGTAGCCCTGGTCAATACCAAGCCCTGATGAAGAATTGACTGGCTTCATTACAAAACCTTACAAAAAATACATAATGCTGGTTGTGCCAAATCTTGCTCCATTTCATTGCCTGAAGTGTTTTTATTTTGTTAGATAATGTTCCGTAGTGCTAATTACTTTGTGCTACTCAGTGTTATTTTCTCATTATAAGTGCCAAATGATTCACATGGCTGCTATCTAATATTAAAAGGAAGCTTTACATGTCAGTACTGTACTAATCTAACATTGCAGATACACATTGACTCCTCTATATAATGTGACATATTTTTGCGACATTGTGATTCTATAAAAACAGTGGTCTAGTATTAAGCCAAAAGTACTTCTAATGTGTTATTAATGCATCAAACATTTACCTCTCAAAACACTCCTGTTTAATAAGTTTCGGCATGATTGATTCCCTTATTGAAACACTGAGTAGAGAGAGAGTTGATAATTAAACGTTATTAAAAGTCACCCATATCCCTCTTTTGTTGCAGTACAAAATGCTCACCTGTAATCTCCTTACAGTTTAAAAAGCATGCAGTATCAGGGTCATGGATTTGGATGATCATCTAAACATGTATTTTCTTCTGGACCTCCATCAGTTTACATCCAGGAAAATGAGAAGTTCATTGGATAAAGGATTTGGCAATGTGAGAGTATAATCTTAACAGGGCAAATTATGACCTGTCACATAATTCATTAAGCAGCACATGGTTCAACTTTTAAATAAAAAAATCATCAAATAAAAGGATAACAAAAAATCTTTAAAAACACAAAAACGAACCTCATCTTTGCACTTAGTTTTAACACCCTGTTATATCTGCAGTTTATGAGGCAAATATTTCACAAATTATGTCTGTGTGTATGTATTTCTAAGTGTGTGTGAGACATCTGTGTCTAAGTGCATGGATAAGAAGTGATGCGTCTCTCTGCACTTTGTGTGTCAGTGGGCGTAAGCACATCTAAACTGTTGGAATGACACAACGTGGGTGTTTTGATAGACAGGTGAGTGCCTTTTTTTACATACTCACAGCCTGGTGTGTGTGTGTGTGTGTGTGTGTGTGTGTGTGTGTGTGTGTGTGTGTGTGTGTGTGTGTGTGTGTGTGTGTGTGTGTGTGTGTGTGACCTGGCATATGCATGTGTTTTAGCAAGCAAATCCGAGAACAAAATGGCAGCAAAGGGTAATTCTGGATTGTGATACAAGCATGATTGTAAGCGCATGTGGAAGATGATTCAGGGGGAATTGGGACAGTGAAACACAAGCAAACTGGAACCAAAGGAGCAGCAGTTTTTCTCTAAAGACACACATTTTGTCACTAAAGTCAATATGGATGGTGTAAATGTTTTTGTGCCCTCAACTGTCTCTCTGCGTCAGAGCTTGCAGTTCGGCAGTCTGTAGGGAATGTTGGAGGAAGACATTTTTACGGCTGTAGCTGTGCAGAGACAGAGGGCCTCTCGGAGGTTGCCCTAAACGACCCGTAAACATGGAGGAGGAGGAAGAGGAGGAGGAAGAGGATGCTGGGGAAGGAGTAGAAGGTGGAGGGGAGGCCTGGATGGAGCATGAGATGCTCGGGGAGGGGCTCCCTCTGCTTACAAGACTGTGGAGGCTTGAGGACGTGCTGGACCCGGCTGCACGAGGGATATGGCTAGTGGGGTGGTGCTCTCCTCCCCCTTTCCTAGCCCCACCTGACAGACTCACTCCACCTCCAAGAGTTAAGGACTCTGAAGAGGAGGACACCCCCTCTGGCTGCTTGGAGGACATAGATGAAATTGTGGTGTGATTAGCAGCCGCTAAGCTGGAGCCTGGGCATTGATTTGGACTCAGGCCCGGATGTGAAGCTTGGAGTTGAGCTGGAGTAGTGAGTGAAGCTTGGGCTGATGCTGCAGAAGTGGTGCAGGAGAAGTAGGAGGAGCCTGGAGCCAGATTGGTAGCAGGGTTACGGGCTGCGGATTGTGCTAAGATCCCCTGGCAATGGCGCTCCTCCCAGGCAGTGTGTCGCTCCGAAGCAGGAGGGCGGCTGTGCAGAGATGGATAGTAGTGGGGGGAGTGCTGATTACAGAGGTCCCCTCCGAGTGCTGCCCCCACACCCCGCACTACCCTTCGGTCCCTTGAAGCCAGGCTGCTGCCGAGTCCTGACCACCGCCCTGGATGACTGATCTGAGGGAGGAAGACAGAGAGAACCAGGAAACACATGTTAATTAAACGTAACCATTTACTCTGCTTTCTGTCTGTCAGTGAGAGTGAGCTGTGGACTATTAGATGGATTATCCACTGAAAAGAAGAGCGTGCAGAGACAGACAGACAGGAAGGCAGCATGAGACAGAACAGTTGAGTGTTCAGTATAGATTGTTAATTGGGTGACATTTGGAGAACAATCTTTCTGGGCTCCTGCAGCTTGTTCTAATTGTTTCTAAACCAACCGGAACCCTGCTCACAAAAGAACATAAACACACGCACACGCACACACACACACACACACACACACACACACACACACACACACACACACACACACACACACACACACACACACACACACACACACACACGGCAGTGTAACAAATGCAAAGGACTGCAGATGTGCAGGTATGCAAAAATCCCTGCTTCAGAAGCTATAGATCTCTCTCTCTGTCCCTCACTCACTAAGACACAAACATACACACACACGGGAAGATGGCACATAAAGCTAGATGGCAGAAACAGGAGCCACCTGTTCTCTTTCACAGTCCACTGCATCTCCTTATGCAACATATCTCATCATGGTTCTCCTTCTATTTTCCTCTCTTAATCTCACACACACACACACACACACACACACACACACACACACACACACACACACACACACACACACACACACACACACCACACACACACACACACACACACACACACACACACACACACACACACACACACACACACACACACACACACACACACACACACACACACACACACACACACACACACACACACACACACACACACACACACACACACACACACAGCAACCCGTGGGACCAAGTCTGTACTGTTCACTAAAGTAGCACAATCTGATCTGACACTGAACCTCATGGGAGAGTAAGCTGAGTTGACATTTGCCGACACGGTGACTGTGTGTGTGTTCTTGTGTGCGTATGGGTGAGCCTGTGTGTAACTGTGTATGTGCACATACTGTATGCAAGATGGGTGTCAATATGCATGTCTGTGTACTGTATAGTGCATACATGCATGCATTTATTAAGACGTCCATGTGCTTGTTTGTGCATGAATGGGATCATGTTTTCATGTGTTTGTGCACTCAAATTCTAATTAAAACTAATGTTATCACTTCGTTAAAGTTGTCACCAAAATGCTTGTGTGTATGAAGTAGCAAACAGCTAAATTATTAAGTACAGTATAACCGTGGCATGCTCATTCAATAAAGATGTTCTTATTAATATTACAATAAACCTGACATTAAATTAAAGAGGGGGAGTCTAAATCATCACAACTTTTCCTTTGGTGAGGTATGAAATACGATCTATCAATCAAAGGCCACACACGCCTTTGCGAGTTGACATTGGTCATTTTGTCAACATATACCCCTGTCATATTTCCCCAGTGTGGACCTGCATCAACACTCCAGAGAAGCAGTAATTGTGTTGTACTTCCTGCTTGAATTGTGCCATATCGGCTGTGTTACATGACTCCTATTTCTGTCTGTATGACACCTCTAGTGTGTGCTACAGGTGTCAATCTACATCACAGGATGCAACATATACTAACACCTTGGAGGCTCCTTGTGTTTTTCTGGTGCACAGATCAGTACTTTCTGTACTGCCAGAAATTGGAGTACATGTTGGGTCATAAGAAAAAATAATCAAATCCCTTTTGTACATGGTACACACCATTAATGCGTAATTGGATGGACAAATTATATTTAATAAAGTAGTCATTTTCCTGCAGTCAAAACAGAGTAGTACTAATTACACTATGCGGTTGGAAAATGATGTTGGTGCGATGGCTTGAGAAAGTTTCCACCGTTCTGAACACCACCAGATTTTAACATCTTACTGTGAGGTGCTATTACTGGCTTTTTATGCATTTCAAAGTAGGAAAGGATTCCATTAGCATTTAGCTGCCACTATGTTGGGCTCCAATTTAGTTTGAGGAGGTGTATACAGAGTGAGGTCATTATGATAGATGAACAAGGACCGAAGACTAAAAGGATAACAGGGCCAACTCACTTTGAACTTCTGCATCTGAAAATTGTATGCATGATCAGGGTTTGGTTTAAAGAAGGCTTTTTACCTTTATAATTACGTGAAGCCACTTACAAAAGCAAAGCTGACATGTTTCCATTTGGTTAAAAAAACGTGTGAATACTGCATGTCGCTAAAGTTTGTATTTCCTCCCCCACAGAACACAGAGACAGTTCCTGTCATGCCCATATCATCATGATATGGTTTTTTAAAACACCTGAATCATAGCCAAACAATCTGCACTTTAAAAGCTCAGTCTCTGTGTCCTTTCATGTCTAAGAAATAAATAAAGACCCATCACAGTGCTCTGCCAAAACATCAAACAGTGTGCTTTCTAATGGGCTCTAATGTGTGGATAAACACTACAAGACTTCTCACAGATTGCTTGATCTAATTAAAAGGAGTGAGAATTTCCATTCCAGCAACATTTCCTACATAGTGGTGCTGTGAAAAAAAACAAGTGTAACGCTATGGTGTTGTGTATCCACCATGGTGGTGCGAGTTTATGTAGAGCGGCTTAATTAGGGCTAAATCTCTAATCATACAAAATATTCTGTAGTGCTTTCCATCCTCAGACATTTGAGAAAAACAACAGAAGGTAATAGTTAGATACAAATTGGCAGACTACTTTGAAAGGAATAATTACCAGGCCGAGTTCAAAGAGTTGGTTATACGTAGACACATATGGTCCATATCAAAGGGGCATTGTTGATCCAAGTTTGGAAGAAAAAAATAACTTAAAGATTAATCAAATGCAATGAATCAAACAGAACATAAATCTGGAGTAAAGCTGGGGCGAAGTTTGTGCACAAGAAGTGCAGATAACAGATGAAGAGAAAAAGGTCAAACACAATGAAAGGAAGGAGTTAACAAACAGTTAAAAACCGAGATAAATAATAATGCGAACTAGAATAGAACAGAGAGAAAGAGAGCAATTCTGATTTACAAACTCAGGTGTCCTTTCTCAAGTACACGCTCTGCGGCACTCAGACGGCCTCTTCTGCAGTAACAGAACAGCCAATGTGTGTGCGATCACTGGAGTCACACACACACACACACACACACACACACACACACACACACACACAGGTAAATCATAGTGATTTAAGGGGGCCCTCTTCTGCAACCTTAGTTTTTATTGGGCAGTGAAGAACACAGCAATGTGGTAATGGCCAAGTTTGCATAAAAGACCTCCTTAAAACCCTGAAACATCTCTGTACAACGCTTGTTATTGCCTGTCTTAGTCATTTTTATAACGTGATGTGATAGAGTGGAGAATTTATTTCCCCACAAAAAAACCAAAACAAACTAATTAAAGAGAGGACTGATGTAAGGTGTAACACAGGCCACAAGTAACCACTAAGTATCCCTACAATTGCAAAGCATGGCTCAGTATCCCTGCACCCACACAACGTATCCTAATGAAGGCAATGGGGCTGGAATGCAAAAGGACCCCAAAAGTTTCCAACTCTTTTTGTGACATTAAAGAGGTAAAAGTTTGTAAATGTGAATTCTTTATATTCGTTGACGCCCACATACTCTGTGAACAAAGTAATCCTGTGGTTCTTTGAAAGTGTGAAACGCCGGGGTGTTCGGTGTGGATACAATAACAGTGCAGAACACCCACACAGATGGTACTTACAAATCCTATTTAGACTTTAACCAAATACATCTTCCACTGTGATGTGTGAGCCCAAACCATCAACATCATTCTGTCTACCTTTAACAGACAAGTATGAACAGTCTTATTCATACTTGTTTGCATAGTTGTCCAGTGTGATAGAAAGTTAACATTATCAAGGTGTAAGAAACCGAGGGTCCAGACTCAAAAGAAAAAGACATAAAACAAAAAAGTTCTTATTTGCAACAAGACCTGTTTGTGTTGAAGTGGTAGAAAGAGACAAAAAAGCTGAAAAACATGATAACACTATCCTCAACTATCCTCTTGTTAGCTCAGAAAGTATATTGAATATTCACAGATACGTTTCTGCAGCAGAGTCTCCCACATCCACTGAAGGCACTTTGCAGTATAAACCTGCAACAAACAATCAAACAAGGGGTGAAACTGCAGAGTCTGGTGTCTCAAGGCCATAGCATACCTTTACTTTGAACTTGAAGGTTTTCATCAGTACACAACCCCCATAGGAAGCAAGGCTCTTGTACTGCCTGTAGCAACATCCTTGCTTCCTCTTCCCTGTCTCCATCTTGACTTTGTTGAAGTATTTCATCCTTATCTCCCTTATCTATTCCCAGCCACTCGTCACTATTTCCCCGGTTCCTCCAATTTCCAAAGCGCTGTTGCACTCTCCATCTGCCTGACATTTTTGTGCTATAAGAATACGGAAGCACAATAACAATCGTGTAATACGGTCACACTAAATCTGCTTCAGATCAGGAGAGCAGTTTTACAAATGTTAGAAGATGAGAGGACAGGACCAAACGGGTAAATAACATTTGGGGTCATCACTAATACTGTGAATGACTGGATTGGGCAGGAAGTGCAGAATAGGACAAAACAGGGCCAACGCAAGAGCATTTCACATTGTTATGCTTATTGAAATGAGCAAAACAAAAGGGGACAGGGTTATTGCTGCACATTGTCTCTTTGTTAGGCTTTCCAATTGTGTACATTTATTAGGTTTAGCCTGTTCATAATTATGCAGGTTCTCCTCTGTCAACCTGTTCAGGACCCATGTCAAAATAAACTGAAAGTGTGAGTCCAGGCAAGCACATAGCTACTAGTTCTACTCCCCATCCCCAACCTGTATCCATCATCTTTGTTTCCCTTGTCTCTCTATTAGCTTCTCTGTCTGTTTTGACCTCCCTTCTTCTCTCATATCTCACTTTATCTACCACCTTTCTTTTGTCCCTTCTTCAGTCTTTATCCGTTATGTAACTTGGTGCTTAAGA